CAGTGTATTGGAGTCCTTCCTCAAGGGGATCCGGCCTCCCCTTCAATCAAGGGGTTGTGAGTATGTAAACTCACTCAAGTCTGGGAATTGATTGAGGGGCCATGACTATTCTGGCAATTCAACTGAGACTGATGTTCACTTGACCTAGAATTCATCCACTTGTACAGATCAAGTAAATATTCAGTAGATTTCCTGTCTATTTCACTCCTAGGGACATCATGACTAAGTAGCCAATGCCATAAGTCCATACGAGTCAGACTATTCTGATTACTGCTTTGACTCTGCTGTCCATTATGGTAACCATGCCCATCTTGAGTGCTGCCACTTGGCCCCTACCACCACAGGCTCCCATCAGCCCCATTGTAGTTAGGTGTCTTAATTCAGTTAGGGCAGTTCCCACTGTCATATCTGACTTACAAAAATAGCAATCACAACAGTCTTCAAGGATGCTGGGGCTCTCTTCAGAAGTTTGTTCCTCACTGTTGTGGTAAAAGATGTGTCCTCTGGGCACTCCATGTGTGGGTCTGTGGGTCTAACCTGATAAATCCACTCTAGCATGCCAATTTCCCTAAGCCTTTGGATACCGTCTTCTACAGTATACCAAGGCAGGTCTGGTACTTCAACTTGATTTAGTGTAGACCACCATGCAATCCATGCTTCAGCAACCCAACCAAATAAACTATTAGATCCTGTCTTAACTTCTGGAGCTGAAACACTGAATGAAGAATCTGTGCTTAGTGAGCCCATATCAATAAACTCAGACTGATCCATCTTTATGTTCCTTGCACCATTATCTCACACCCTTAATAGCCATTCCCATACATATTTCCCAGGTTTATGTTTGTACATATTAGAAAAGTCAAGCAGTTCTTTCAGAATATAATGTACCTACTCCTGGGTTACACTTTGTACATCACCTTTTGGGGCTCACTGGGACTTAAGTCTAGTTACAGGTCTTGAAGCCAAAATCAGTGGGGAAATGTTTTGAGAACATTCAATATTATCTTGTAAAGCACATGTCTCAGGAGATGTCCCAGGCAATGACTCAGACAAAGGCGCTTTAGATGCAGCTGGGTTACTCTCATTAGATGGGAGTGGAGGGGCTAATGGTTCTGTTGGCAGGAGTGATTCAATGGAATTTAGGGGTCCAGCTTCTTGATTATCTGCCCATATGTACCCATCCCAGGTTTCGGGGTCCCATTTCTTCCCAGTCAGTGCCCTCACTTTAACTTCAGACACCTCTCAAGTTGGCAGTTGAGTTGGCATTGTAATTCAGCCACTCTTACAATGAGACTCTGGGTTTGTTTTTTGGCAATATCAGCTCTGTTACTACAAGAAATAAGGCTTCCTTTCAAGGCACAAATGGAAACTTTGAGGTCATTTACGTGACGCTTGAGCTTTGACTCTGAAGCCCTGAGCTCATCTCTTTCTTTCACCAGTTTGTCTAGTGAAAGTAGGGCCAACCAACCAGCTTCCTGATACTTCTCATTATGACAAAATTGTAGAAAGATATCAAACATGCAATCACCCAGAGCCTTATCTTTCACCAATACCTGATTTATTGGTGATGATATTTTGTGTATTTGAATTGCCACCTCGTGCCATGGATTAGCAGTGCCCTCTTTACTTCTGGAAGCAAAGTCATCAACACCTTTAAAACTAACCAGACTTGAGAACCAATTTAGAAAATTCATCCTTACAATTTTGTTTCTCTAGAACTACTCTCGGTACCAAATGTCTTAGGCTGGGTTCTCTAGAGAAGTAAAACCAGTAAAGCGTGTAAATATATATACGTATATAGAGAGATTTATATCAAGGAAATGGCTCATGCAGTTGCAAAGGCCATATCATCCCAAATCCGTGGGTCAGGAAAAAGACTTCTCCTGATTCATGTAGCCACAGGGGTTGGCGAACCCAAGATTGGCAGGCTGGAGAGCAGGGCTGTTGCTCACAGGCTGTGAGGATTAACGAATTCCTAGATCAGCAGGCAAGACTGCTGGTAAGCTGCTAGCTCAAGTCCCAAGAACTGGAAGTTAGATGAACAGGAGCCAGCTGCAGGATCCAGAATGAGCAAAAGCCCCCTGAGCCCTGCCTGAATGTCCGCCCACACTTGATACAGGCCACAAGCCCAAGGAAACTCCCCTTCAACTGATTGGCTACTCACAACAGATCCCATCATGGGGGTGATCGCGTATCAAATCTCAACAGGGAAGTGACCACAACATTATATTACTGCCAAAACACTGAGAATCATGGTTTAGCCAAGTTGACATACAATCTTAACCATCACATCATTTATTCAGCCTTCTAAATAAGAAAAAAAAATTCAGTTATCCTTAGCTACTTCTCTTTCACTCTTTAGATCCAATTATGTCCCCAATCCTAATGATTATACCTGTTTTAGTTTGGGTTCCCTCAGAACAGATTCTGAACCAGGGATTCGAATGCAGTTCATTGGGGAGGTGATTCAAGGAAACACTGGTAGGGAAATAATACAGGAAAGGGAAGGAAGCCAATAAAATGCATTACTGGGCAGGTTACACTGTGAGCAACTGAGGCTTAATCCCACTGGAGAACTCTGGGAGACAGTATAGAACATACCTCAGAATTGTCTCACCCACAGGACAAGAAAGCTGGGTGTTGATTCTCAACTCGCTATCCATTACTGGCTGAAAATGTCTCTCAGGGATGTTCACTTCCAAGCACTGCTGATTTGTCCCCACAACTGGACTGACAGGAAGCCCTCAGAGAATTACAGGTGCTTACAATTGGAGACTAACTGTATATCCTAAAAATGTAAGTGCAGAGGTGACATGGTTGGGTTACTGATGTCTGGCAAGACCTAAAACTAAGTGAGGAGGAGTGAGGCATTGCCTCAGGTGCAACATTTAAGATGCTTCCTCCTCTCTTCCTTTAGCCCTTCACACTTCCAGTCCATCCTCTGTGTTGTTGGGGCAGTTAACTTTTTAAAAATACTGATTTGCTCACATTCATCCCATGCTTTAACAGTCTAAACTCCTTAATTTAGCATAAATAACTCTTTACAGATTGAATATAGTTATCTTTTTAGCCTAATCCCCTGCCACTTTCTTTATATAGCTATGCTCTACTACGTGAGTGCTTCGCTCTTTGAACTTCCATACCTTGGAGTGTATTGTTCCTTCTATGTCAAATACCCTTCCTTTCCCTCCCCCCTTTAACACTAAAATTTCTTACTAGTCCTTAAAAACCGAGCTTGAAAATCTATTTCTCTGTGAAAACTTCCTGACTGCCCTGGAAAAATTAATTGCTTATTCCTCTGTGTTCCTTAACATTTTGTATGTACCTCTACTCTTGCACCTCTCAGATTGAATTTGCATCTGTTTATCTCTTTTTCCCTCACTAGACTGAGAACTCTTCAAAGGCAGGTCTTATTCATTTTTGTAACCCCAACATCTGCCTGCATGTAGAAGGCACCCAAAACTGTTTGTTGAGTTGAATTTAATTCATCCAGGCACATACAGACCAAACATATTTTGAAAGAAATTGAGGGAAGCATCTCAGCAATTTCAGGAGATGGGTGCCATAAGCAAAGAAAGCAGGCTGTGAGAATATACAGTTGGGATTTATCACAGACATCTATTTTATATTATTTCTTATTTATGAACTGCTACAAAAAGGCTTTGAAGCAGCTATTTTTAAGTATTGGAATCAGTTGTTTCCAAAGGCAGCCCTTTTGATTTATTGAACTAGAACGTGTGTTATGCTGATAAATAGAAAAGCAAATACTCTAGGGTGTTATATACATACTATTTCAAATTAAAGTGTCCCTAGATTGTAAACTGCCCTGAAGGCAGAGACTGTGTGTATATAATTTACTCTTTAGACAGTACCTAGCCCATATGTACACTAACTCTTAAGTAATTATTGGCACAGCAGTGATTTTGATAATCTGTGACTAAATCTATAATCATTTGCAGTGAAGTGGGGATTTGCCAAGGTTCTTAGATTTTAATTCCTCAATATGAATAAGTAAACCAGATAAATCACATTCCCTCAAGAGCACTCCCTCCCAATAAAAAAAAAAGCTTTTTAAGTATTGAATTATTCTATTGGCTGTCTACCTTTTTCACATAAATTAGGTAGCTATCAAAATCTCACTTCACCCCATCTTGTTATTTCAAAAATTGATGCTAATAATAATATTAAAAATAAATACAATCACATTATTGTTGTTTTTTAAATGATAATGATGATAAGTACTATGGTGAGTTTTCTTGTTTCCCTGAGCACTAGCCTAGCACTGATCTAGCTTTAGTATCAACAGTCATAACAGCAGTACAGTTTGAAAAATTCAACAGTTGAGAACTCACTACCATTCACAGAATGGTGTAGTGCAGTGGGGTGGGGGAGGGGGAAGATTTTGATCCTCCAGAATGGTTTTTGTTTACTGATACTTGTCTGGTAATACTTTTCCGTATCTTTTGGTGATATCTTTTAGTGGTTCAGATGAGTGAGTCAGCATCTCAAGAGGAATCCAAATCTGCTCAGGTTCCTGGCCTAAATAGATTTATAACCATTTATGAGAGGATTTGAGGCTCAGCATCTTGGGAAAATTGAGATGCAATATCATATTCTATCATTTCATTGTTTCTCTTTCGTTAAAGTATTTTGCATCAGGAATTTCTGAGAAATGGATCGAACTTTGATAGTTGGGTCACAGTGGTCTGCTTCTAGTTGGTTGGTGTTCCTTAATTATATATAAAAATTCTGTTACTTTTTGAGTTTCTTGATATAACTAACTTTGTGTAATTTTATTTGGTATGATGTTTGTATGATTACTTGTATGCTTTGTATAATTTCACTTGGTATGATGTTTATCTGATTATTGGTAAACAGTATGATGTTTAGTATTACGTGAAATGTCTTTAAATAAAAAACTTGCTATACTGGAGTTTCAAGTGTTAGTTTAATCTCCAGCTCCTTTTGGATACCAGTTACTAACACTGTTTCCATTTCAGGAAAATGGAAAAGAAGAAAAAGAAGAGAAACAGGAAGCAAGCGAAGTGAAAGAGCCTATTGAGGTAGAGTTGTCATGAATAATCAGATATGGTAATTAATGCTAGAGAGTAAACTGGATAAATTAATTTTCTTATGAAGAAGGAAAAAAGGATATGGGTATTCAGAAAGATAAATAAAGAAAGATAAATAAAATACCAAATGGAAAAGGGCAAACTCATTCTGATTTTTAAGCTGACTAATTTGAGTCAGTTACAGGAAGCCTACATAGATTATAAATTATTTGTGAAGAGCCATTATGAATTACAGATAAGTAACAGTTGCTTTCTAAAGTAAGAACTATTACCGTAAGTACCCTAACTACCAGTTTTTAGGATAATTTTACTATTAAGCTGAAAATATAATTTCCATGTTAATCATTTAAGTTAAATCCAAGACTGCAATGAGAAAGAACATTTTTATAGAAAAAATGGAAGCAATTGAAAATAGTTGTATGGACTTGTCACTAAGTTGACTAATGTGAGACTTAAAATATCCTACTATCTTTTTTTGAAAAGCACATCAGTGTGAATGCGAAAAGGTATTTTGCCACTGTATGTTCATAAAACTAATCTTTAATTTCCTCGATTAACATGAAAATGTTTTTCGTTCCAACACAAATGTCGAAGATGATTCTAATACTAAAAGAAAACAGTAGCATTTTCAAAGGCCTGATTTCACTATGCTATGGTCTCAAATTATTTTTCTAAAAAGTATTACGTAATTCAAGGATCAGTGCACATGTGGAACAATATTCCTAGCATTTTAGTTTGTTAGCAATAGGCAAATGTGATGACATGCTGAGCTAAAGCATTATCTTGTGAATACATTAAATAGATTGGGATTACTGGTTTGCTTCTAATACACAACATCAAATCCAACCAGAAGTAAATAGGAATGTTTGGTAGCTTCTACAAGGTGTTTATTTGCATTCTTTAATTGAGAGAGCTGATGTGACTTTGAAGAAAAGCAAGTCATTTTATAACTGGTGTTTCTTTTCTACTTTCAAAGAGTTCACAGAATGTAGTACAAGATACGATAACAGAAACCAGCGACAATGTGACAGGAGAAGCAACAGGTATCAAATCTCAAGGTAGACAACTAGCCTTTCCCCTACACAATAGAATCTAAAATTATTAATAAGTTTTAATTGGGTGTTCTTCAAAATTTTGCTTTTTAAAATGTAATCCCACGGGGATTGTAACCAATTTCACAGAACAATTTGTGTATGAATTGTAGAATGGGAGTCTAATCTGCTGAGTAAACTTTCACCAAAAACACAATAAAATATAAAAAAGAAAAAAAATGTAATGCCAGGAGTATTTTAATTGTTATTTGGGAAATAGTTCAAAATGTATTTTCATCACTTTCTATTAATACTTTTGAGATAACTTTATAACTGTTCATTTTGTACTTAATTAAAGAGAAATTTAGCTAAGAGAGCTGACACATAGCAGACAACCTAATACAAAAATAAAATCAAGAGCACTAGTGATTCGGGCTGCTTATTGTTCTTGGTCCTGTTTTTTTTTTTACCCCTGTATTTGACCACACATTTACTTTGTTTGTTCCAAAGCCTGACTCCTAGCCCCATCCCTAACCTACGAGAAAACCAAAACCAAACCCATTGCGTCAGGAGATTCCAACTCATAGCAACCCTATAGGACAGAGGAGAACTGCCCAATAGGGTTTCCAAGGATCGGCTGGTGGATTCAAATTGCCAACCTTTTGGTTAGCAGCCTGAACTCCTAACCTAAATCCCAAGTAATTATGCAAATTAAAAATTTATAGGATGAAAAAGGCAACAAATAAGTGGATAAGACACTCATCCTTTTGCTACAGTTCTTCTAACTTCAAATACTTGGTGAAATCCTTTACCAACAGAAATTCTTTGCAATATTTAAAATTCAATAATTTCACTGTAAATTCCTTTCAATTCAGTTTACAAGTACTGAGTATTTAGCACAGTGTTTAGCTGTGCTAGGCTGAATTACAATAATAATTACTAAAGTATTTTCTAAACTATAAATTGCTAAATAGATGCCAGTTATAACTTTTAGCTACTTTATTTTCTCCAAAGATTTTTTTCTGTCTTTTAAACCAATTAAAAGCCATTATTTAATATTTCCTCTTATTATAGGACACATACACAATAAGAATCAAACTTTGCAACACTTCTTTTATCTCTCTCGTAAACGTAGTACAATCTTCACAGATTCACTAACTCTTATAAAAGATTTCTTTTTGACAAGTCTTCACTTGCCCTCCTCCACCTTTCGCTCCCTGCTCTCTCCCCCCTCCACCTTCCGTCTTTTTTGTTTCCTCTCCAGTTTGCTGACTACACTACCTTCTCACCTCACCCCTCCCCACTACTACCGCATGCATACACTTTGCCTTTACCTTAATCACATGGGCCAGCTTTATAAATTCACTCTTTCGTTTTAAACATACAAAACAGATCATTTGTTATAAATTTAATTAGGTGTTCCCTTTAACCAGTTCGTGGCCAAATTTGCACCTGCAAAACTTCATATATGTATTCAAACATGTGATTTCTTGCCTTTCTAGAAAACATATCAACGAAGTGATTGTGGTCTTTCCTGTTCTTGTGCTTTCAATTTCTCTTGTTGCTTTTCAGTGTATGGTAGAGGAAATAGGTTTTGTTTGTTTAAGTCTATTTATCCTATTATATGGTATGTACTGAAAACATTGCAGTTGCTTGGTGTAATACCAAATACAATGTGATGTATTTATTCAGTCAGTGATCAGTCACGATTAAACCTAATATTTGGCATTCCCCTTTGTGAATGTGTATATGTGTCTATGTGTGTGTAAGAAGTGGGAAGAGGAACTGTTCTTGCAGTTCCACATGTCAAAGGAAGTGTCTTTATCCTTGTTATGTACTTGTCAAAATCAAAATGATGTTACCTTGTTAGGCATCTCCCAGAATGCACTCAAATGCAAGCTTTGCATAGAAAATACCGTGGTTAAATGTGCCATGTGAATTACTCATTTCTTTACCCTGGTTATTCCACTTTTCAAGCTATAAGTTTCACTTGCATTTTGAGAAATCTTTTTTTAAAACTATCTATTTGCTCAGCTCTGTTCTTAATTACACAGCCCTAAAATTAACAAAGTTTTGTAGGAAAATGCCTTTTCATACAGCTATTGCATTTTAATTCCAGCAGTGTTTAGAATGTGCTTCTTTTCCTCCTTTCTTCACAGCAGTCATTCTACATTATGTTAAGAAATCCTGATAATAAAGCCAAGCCAGCTGAGTTTCAGACAGGGCCTGTATTTAGAGAGAACATCACACACAGTTCTTGAGCAGTCCTGCTAGGTCAATTTTCACTAGTTTAATCGGCAGCCAGTCCCACTAACTTTATATGCCTGCTTGTGAAGAAAGAGCCTGCTAAGGCCTATTATAATTTAGGTTGTAATTTATTCCTATTTATGTCCTTAAATAGGGTTGTACTGAAGTTAAGCCCAGCAGTGGGCTATGCAGGAAATGACAAAAGTCACTTAGCCTGGACCTTTCAAAATATGAGTAAGGAATTCTTTTGTGTCCCTGTTTGTTCAGTTGAAAGCATTTATTCCCATAGTGTCTGAATAGGTGTATGTATGTTAGAAAGTAGACTAGTACAGGGGTGAAGGTGTGCATTTAGGGAGAGAACTTGAAAGGCTCTTACTTCTAGAAAGAGTTTAAGAAGACAATCCCAGAAGACAATTACAGTGCTTAGCATACCCATTGCCATCCAGTCAATTCCAACTCATGGTGACCCTATAGGACAGAGTAGAAATGTCCCATAGGGTTTCCAATGGTGTTTAAAGCTTTACAGAAACAGACTGCCATATCTTTCTCCCACGGAGCATCTGGTAGGTTTGAACTTTTCAGTTAGCTGCCGAGCACTTAACCACTGTGCCACCAGGGCTCCTTGGTGCTTAGCATAGTGCCTGGCCATAGTGAGGAATCAATAAAATGAATTATGAAGCAACCAATCTGTCTGTAAAAGGCTTGGGAATGCTCAAGCACAGATCTGCTAAACAAACAAAAAACCCAGTACCTGTTTGAAACTATGTTCAGTTTAATTTGCTCATGGACAGTACTGTAATTTGTGATCCTTGAATTCAGAGGTCACTCAGTCAAAAGATAGTTAGGCTTGTTCAGATTTCTGATTTATTAACCCCCACTCGTGCTATATTTCCTTTTCTTGGTTTTATGGCTCTAAGAAAGAAGTGTTTGACTAGAGTTGTCTACACATCTACTTCCAACCTGTGGAGTCAGTGCAGTATCAGTAGGGTCAGTGCAAGCACTAGGATTATTGCTTAGCAACCTATAATAGCCAAGCACACTAGAGGAGCACTAGCAGGCTGCAACTAAAATAGAGAATGCGTGAGCTCATATGTGAGTTTACTAATGAGCTATGGCGTATGGATAGATATTAAATTGCTGTACATCTGTAGCACTACCCTTAAAGCAGGAGGAATATCTGCCTAGGGTTATCCTGGAGAGGTTAAAAACAGAGATAGTAGTTAGAACCTGCAGACTTGAAAGAATTGCTCTCTTTTCACACTTACTTAAAATAAAAATAAAACCATTGTATTAATAAGCATTTAACCTAACAGAATGGACCCCCCCAACAAAAAAAAGGTTAATTCATTTGCAAACCCAACTAAATGTTGAAGGAGGGCATTAAACTATCCTCCTCACTTCCCTCATATCAGAATAAGAGAATTGGCCAAGGAGGAAAACAAAACTTGAGCGGAAGGCTCATAAATACTGTCTGCTATTGGACTTAAGGGTTCCTGGATGGCGCAAATGGTTTGTGCGCCACTACTAACCTAAAAAGTTGGCTGTTTGAACCCACCCAGTGGCACCTGGAAGAAAGGCCTGGGCATCTGCTTCTGTAAAGATAAAACAACAACAATAAACCAAAGACATTGCTGCTGAGGCGATTCTGACTCACAGTGACCCTATAAGACAGAGTAGAACTGCCCCATAGGGTTTCTAAGGCTGTAAATCTTTACAGAAGGAGACTGCCACATCTTTCTCTTGCGGAGCGGTTGGTGGGTTCAAATCGCTGACCTTTTGGTTAGCAGCTGAGTGCTTTAACCACTGCACAACCAGGGCTTCTCTGTAAAGATTACAGTCAAGAAAACCCTGTGGAGCAGTTCTACTCTGTAACACATGGGATCACACTGAGTCGGAATCTACTCTATGGCAATGATTTTTTGTTGTTGTTTATTGGACTTGAGACATTCTGTAAATGAAATGTTGGTTTTTCAAGGGTTTCTTCAAAGGCTGTTTAATTTCTCTCCTGGGCAGAAAGATGGGCACTATCTACATAAGATTTTAAAACTCTACAGAGCATTGGTTTTAAAACTTCTTTGAAGGAGCAAAAGTTTTCTTCTCAGTGAAATCTTAGAGTGCTCCCCAACATCTGAAAACTCTTGAAGCAGAGCTGCTTTGGTCACAAAGGGGTTAAGGAGCTTAGAGTCCTATGACTTTTGAAACTCCTTCTCAGGATCCTGAGAAGCATAGTTAGAACGCTACTGCTCCACAACAGGAACTCTTACTCTTGCTGGTGATGATACCACAACCACTCCGGAGAATAATTTAACAATATCTCGTCAAGTTGTAACGCACATACCCTATGACCCTGCAATTACAATCCTAACTATAGACGCTAGAGAAACTCTTATATACATACACAAGGAGACATGTGCAGTAATGTTCACAGTAGCTTTGTCTATAGTAGCAAAAAACTGCAACCAATCCAAATGTCTATCACTAGGAGAATGGATAAAAACATTGCAGTATCAGCTTCTAATGAAATATTGTACAACAATAGAAATGAATGAACTAGAGCTACACCTATCAATAGAGATGAATCTCAGTTATAATACTAAGTATACAAAAGGTTGCAGATTAAATATGGTATGAAATATTTTTTCTAAAACTTAAAAAACAGGAAGAATAATACTGTATTGCTTAAATTAATATATTATATAATATAAACACATGCATAGAAAGGATAAACATAAAATTCAGAATAGTCTTTACCTCACAGTGGAGGATATGTGATCAGGAGA